GTGCAATGATTGAAACTATTGGTGAATTATGATTATCAGTGAAAGTGTATCAAGACGTGCAGACAGCTGCGTATGTGTGTGTGCCGTGTGCCGGCGCAGCGTATTGTATGCGCGAGTTAACAGGCACGGATTGCACTCATGGATTAAAATATGTTAATCGATGATTTATTGTGCTTTTTTTTAAGGGGGGAAAATCATCGAATGACTCCTCCCGCCTGGGTGAGGCGGGAGGGAGTGTCAGACTCTTACTGACTAAAAACCACCCCGTTCCTTCTCCTGCACGTCGAGCCGGAGCCCCGGTTACCCGTTAGGTTCTCCGCGACATGATTTATTGTACTGGGTCTTAATGCTACTGCAGAAGTTCGGTAGACTAAGCAGTAAATAAAATAGTCTTAGCAGGATTAACTAATAAATTGTTCTTCCGAAACAAAATAAAAATTGTTAAACCAGTTATTTAACTAATTGGTTAAACCAATTAATTAAATGTAGTTATGTAAAATTGGGCTTAACAATAACAGTTTATAATTATTCTAAATGTATTGGGTTAAAAAACAATAGTAGGTAAGTAAGTATTAAATTTCCAATTACATCAAATTCATACCTGTAATATTATAAACGTTTAGACATACATGACGAAGCGACAAGTCTTGCGCTTGCGCACGATGCCTCACGTGCGGTGGTCGCACGCGCATCCTAATAGATCATCTAGAATTCTATACGGAGCTAACTGTCTATTAAATCAATGTGCAATAGTATACTGGGAAAAGTCTGCTAAGGCCTACTGTCCACGCTGCGTCATTTGACGAATGCCGCTTCGAGAACAGTTTTCAGGAGGTCCAATTACCGTACCGTTACCCTACCCTTCCCCAATCTCCCCAATTCCTGAATCCCCAACGATTCTCAAACTCCTAATCCCTAAAACTTGTAACGCCTCTGGTGTTTCGGGTGTCCATAAAAAAATGCAAGCAAGAAGCATGCATTCGTCAAATGACGCAACATGGACAGTTACCCTAACATATCGATTTTTAAATACTTCATTGTCTTCAAACTCTAACTTAACATTTTCAATTTGAAAGTTTTTCTTTAAATGAAACAAAAATACGTTTAGTAGCTACTAGGTAAACAAATAAAGCTACGACAGCAAAATATAAAATTTCAATATTGAAAAGTATTACAAAAACGAGAGATTTCATTTGCTAAAATAATACAATAGTTTACAATCTGCCTATAAAGACACTATGACAAAAAAGTGTACAATGTCTTAACTACAATATTACAGTAACCTATTCAGTATTGTGTGAGAGAAGTACTATTATGACAGAATTAAAAAAAATTTACTAATTAAACTAAAAGAAATTACACTTAAAACATTAGAAAATATAAAGAACTCTGGAAATAAGGTTTTCGAAAGTTATTGTTCAATGTTCAGTGACACAATTCTTTGCTACACTTGTCAACTTATGTGAACTTCTGAACCGTACGAGATAATCATCATTTGTGATAAGTGGGTAGGCAGAGTAGCTGCTATCTGGAGCAATTTCACATGTTTACCTCCAACTTTTACTTGAGACAATACAAAGATGTGACAATGAATTGTTTAGGGTTGTGTAGATTAGAGAAAGACTTTCTTCTTGTAGAGTTTTGCATGTGTATATGTGACTGCTAAGCAAGGGAACTAAGCTTCGAACCTAGTTCAATACTGTTAGAATATGCAGTTTTGGAACGTAACCATTTTAGTTCGTATTTCTGTCACTGGTGTCGCTCTCTCTCTCTCTTTGAATCTTCCATGTAAACGGTCGTACGAATTAAATAACTCTAAAGTATTCTGTGTAAATATTTCTTTTATTACTACATCCACGCTAAAATCCTACAAATACAAAGTCAAAAGTCAAGTTAAAATCATTTATTTGAAGTAAAGCAATTTGATCGTTCCATCTCCAAAGGAATTGTAGATTCCTTTGGAGATGAACGAGCAAGAAACTACAAAGGTTACTTCCTTCAATCAGGTTCACAATATACTTTTTTAATACTATCTTAGAGGAACAAAAAGCACCGTTTAAACTACTGGCGGCCATTTTAAACAGGTATTTGGATCGTAGATGTGAAATTTTTAAGTAATGTATACCGAAAATGAAAACTCCTTATGGAGCCCCTTCGTCTGGAGTAAACGAAAGAGATCATTAAATTGTATCACATATTTAAGTATTGCTAGACAAATCTACAGAACTATTAAAAATAGCCACAAAATACAGTCGCAATTTGATACATACACACATACATACACAACATCACGCCTTTTTTCTCCGAAGGGTTAGGCAGAGGTGCACATTATGGCACTTTATACCACTTATAAATGTAACACCCGCTTTCCACTATTTATGTTCTGAGTCTGAGTCTGGGTGAGCGTGAGACTATTGCCATATACCGGGCACAATTCCAAACTCCGTGCTACTACTAGGTATTTTTAAAAACCCAGTAATACTTTGCTCCACCCCGGGAATCGAACCCGAGACCCCTTGCCCGGCAGTCGCACGTTTGCGACCACTCGGCCAATGAAGCAGTCGCAATTTTGTATAAACTTCAAAACAACCGCAGTACATTTGAATAAGTTTTTGTTCGACATGCCCCAGTTTTCTTTCTGTATGTTTTTGTCAATCGGCCATTAAGAAGATAAAGCCCACATTGGTTCACTTTCAGTCACTCAGTTGGGCACTCTCACTTGTATTATTTAAGTATTAAAGAAGACTTGAAAGTGAATTGTGGAATATATTTATGTATTTCTATGTACCTACCTCGTGCATATATTTTGATAATAGGTGTAACTAAGTATAGACAGGGTTTTAAAAGGAAACGTGTATTTAGTCCCTCGTATAATTAAAAATATTAATATTTTTTTTATAGTCACAATCATTAATTTATTTAAGACATCAAAAGTCCACTGTATTTGTAACTGTAAAATAAATAATACGAAACATCTTTATAAATATGTTAGTAATAATATAATGTATATATCTAGGTAAAACTAATTATTTAGGAGCGGTTCTGGCTCCTTCACTTCTGTGTTTTACAAAGACCCGTTATTTTTTTTATGGGACGTCGGACGTACCCACCACACCCTCCCAAAAACCGCTGTAACTCCTGTTCACCAGAATCTATCTATCTACAGTTGATACAATCATGAAAACACCGAAATACTGAATAACTGTATTGGTTCCCACAACGAAATACAAGCATTGTTTTTTTAACAGAAATCAAATCCCACCCAATCAAGTATCAACACATAAATAAGTCAAATAATAGTTGATATTAGTTCTTAATGCCTACACATCACCTCAAGGAACGCGGCAATAAAATAAGCAATAATAAGAAAATACATTACGTTTATTTGTTTAGTCTAGCTACATAAAACGCTGAGACAATTCATTATTTACTCAGATGTTGATTAACAGAACAAATACATATATTGTGACGATAATTCTTTGTTCAATACATAGTCGTGTAAGAAAATGTATTTTCTTCATATCTTGAATACAGTTTAAATTACATTATTTAGTACCTATTGTTCTGGAAGTGTATTGTTTAGACATTATTGCAAAAATACAAAATAAGTTTTGATTATGTGATCTATTAGAGTACTTTGTAAATGATTTACTTCTATAGGTTATTATTAAATAGTATCTTAAACCTAACGGGTAAACCGGAGCTCCGGCTCGACGTGCAGGAGTAGGAACGGGGTGGTTTTTAGTCAGTAAGAGTCTGACACTCCCTCCCACCTCACCCAGGCGGGAGCAGTCATTTGATGATTTCCCCCCTTAAAAAAAATCCTAATTAATAGTATTCACAAAGATTCTACTATATATAGTGTGTTATACATAGACAATAATAACGCTATTTATTTGTTTTATTTAGTTTAATACATGGTTTGTTTTGTTTTGTTATCTCTATAATAGTTTGGATTACTTAATTAGTTAGTATAAGTTTTTAATATGGTGTAAGGTGTATCTAGATTGTATAATACCTTGTTATCGCTTTGGGTCCTAACCTGTTTTGTTAGCTTGTGTGTGTAATAAATAAATAAATGCAAAAGTTTGTATATTTTGTTGTTTGTAACTCCTTTAACTCGTCGAGTACCGGTTTTGTAGACACAATTATAGAACAATAGGTTGCGGTCACCGGTGACCGCTTGGTGTTTGACAGTTTAACTCAAAACGGCTGAATCGGAAAAAAATTGGGAAAGGGGTATATAATGGTCAGATAACACATAGGAGACATTTTATTTCATGGGAACGCGGGCAAACCTGCTAGAAGAAGCTATATAGATCTGAAATGAATCCAAATACATACACAACTACGAAACGACAAAAAACTCGATCACTTTAAATATTTCAACTGCCTATATTTAGATATACAATTAGTCGCGCTTTTACTTTTAACAAAAAGTAACGAGACTTTAATCTTAACATTCGTAATAGAATTTTTTATTTAACTCATTCAAATATTTCCCATAACTAACAATAATTAAAACTATGCGTAGTCTATGCTTTCTAATAGCACACTTTACCAGAGACAATGGATGAGAAGCTAAGATGGCGGCCGGAAACGATTCGTTCACATTGTTCTTCCGCCGCGGAAATGATAAAACCTTTTTTGTTAATTCTCGCGCAACAATTAAATAGTTGAGTGGTTCTAATTAAAATGTTTACTTATGTCAAATTATGAGGTTGTTGCCTTTTATGTTTCAGTGGTCTGAGACTTTATTTGACTCGAAAGTTAAATCTTGTAGTTCTTTGCGTTTTCAAATTAGCATAGCATCTTCTAATTTTCCGTGCTACTACTGAGAATTTTTTTAAAACCCAGTTATAGTTTGCCCGACCCGGGAATCGAAGTCGGGAATCGGAGACCCCTTGTCCGGCAGTCGCACTTGCGACTATTCGGCCAACGAGGCAGTTCAACTAAAAAAATATACAAACAATATCTAATAAACTCCTCCTCATCCCCAGGAACTGGAACAAGAGAAGCACCTTCTGAGACGACGGTTGGACACGACACAGGGGGAGTATGAAGCGCGACTGCTCGAACTGCAGAATGATATCCGAGAACTCACCGCCAAGATCGACTCCAGAGATACATCTGTTAAACAGGTTAGTTCATATTATCACTGTTTGTTCATTGAACTTGTACAGAGGTGGAATTAATGCCTATAACATTTTCAATCAACTGAACTTTTGGGTGATGCAGAGAGTAGTCAACGACAGGAGCAAACAAGTGAAAAGTAAAACACAGGTTTAATTCACAACTGCACTTCATATTTATTGATTATACGATTTATGACGATAAACCAATAAACTTCCTTTCGTCACCCAATCACGCAAAATCGGCTGCACAAATTTTAATATGACATACACAGATTGTACGGCGGGTATATAACTATGTTCGTAGCACAAATCTTATATATAAAAATAAAAACCTAAAATAAGAACGGCTAGACCGATTTGGCTGATTTTCTTTTTGTAGTGTTTCTTATCGTCAGGAGAAGGTTCTTATGACAGAATAAAGTCCTGAAAATCCTACGGGAATGGGAGAAATGGGGCGCGTACGAAGTCGCGGACAGAAGATAGTGCACAATAAATAACTAACAGAATTTACGTAAACGTTTTACATGTTATCTTTACAAACTGATTTAGTTACAAATCTCGAGTATTTGCGTTAGAAAACCAAGTTTGCATCCTAAACAGTATCAGAATGACTCATTTGACTTCAATTCAATTTATTTAATAGATTTATGCCTCGTTTTCTTACATTTGTATTCATGTTGAGTCAATATTCTGTCGGTAATATTATGTTGTAAGACTTACCTCATATATTTTAGTGACTAATACATTGTATAAGATGTATCTATTAAGAAAATCTATAAAACATTGTAAGGTTTGTTTCATAATGCCTCGTTAAGATTATGTTTAGTCAACTCACGTATTATTTTATTATTTGACGTATTTTCTTATACAAATAAATTTTCCTGCCTCGTTGAGTGACGAAGTGTGAAAATACTAATAAGTTTTCAGTGGTACTTAATATCACTGTACAATGTAACACCCATTTTTTACTATTTACGTTATGAGCCCCATGTAATAACCCCGGGCACAATTCCAGACTGCGCGCTACTACTGAGAATTTACTTTTCAAATCCCAGTAATATTTTTCCTGACCCGGGAATCGCATTTGCGACGACTCGGCTAACGAGGCAGTCATCATCAGAAACTTTCACATTTATAAATATTAGTGTGATGGAACTAATGATAACCTGTCTTTCAATAATATCAGATTCAGAATTGCCTTATGTATGTACTGTCTTGGTATTTTTTGAAAACTGCTATAGATTCTGGTTTACATCAATCATACAAATAACTGTCAAGAAAATCTATAATTCATCAACTAACAGTAACATTCAGATGTCCATTCACTTAAGTAGGTAATAAATAGTATCTGCCTACCCACTTACGGACACCTGCCATAATGGCCGACATTACGCTTAACGATCGTGTTGCAATACTACATAATGTCATTTGATTATTATTGTCCAGTAGATCGTTAGAGAATTATTTTAATCATTATTTGTAAGTGCTACTGGATTTTTTTCTTATGTTTTTGCTTTCATTTGTATTTATTCATAACATAACTAATAATTGAACAATGTCCTAATTAGTTTTAGAGTGCAAATTATCTGTAGGAAATTTTCGAATAAACTCAGTTCGAACTACGCCGACCTCTTTGATCAATTGGGTACTTTCCTTAGTCAAAAATAAATTATTTCGACTGTTCAATACAATAAAATATTAAAAAATAATCACACTTTCATTCGTTGATTTTATGATCAACTTATTTTTAATATTTTTCCAGCAAATTTTTAAGAAATAAATATGCTGTTTGACCCAAAAAAAACGTCACAATACACAATCTCGTACAAAATTCATAGAAAACTGTCGTTTTTAACAGTTCGAATAAAGTATGTAATTTGACTAGATGGCCAGTACCCAATTGCAGACATTAGACACGCCCGTAAAGAGTTCGAATATGGACGCTTTCCGAGTTAAACTGGTTAGTAGGTAATTTCACACCATCCGTTGAGATAGGGCCCATTAGGGCTGGTGCCGATTCGGAGCCGTGGCAGACTTAACGCGTTGCTCGGACTCCGGGTCGAAGTACAGAAGTAGAAACGGGATAGTTTTTAGACAGTAAGATTATGGCACTCCCTCTCGTCTCACCCGGGCGGGAGAAGTTATAATTACATTGATTCTTCAGAACAAAACTTCAAATGTGTCTTTAAATGAAATTAAGAGACACCGGAGAGTGTGGTAAGCTCATCACAAGAAACTAAAGTACCTACCTGTGCCAATGAGCCTAGTGAACAAAATCTCGTTTACAAGTAACTAATGAGTTTTGCTTAAGCTCAGTTACAAAATTATTCTGCAATTCAGTAATTAGGGTCACCTCCTGTTTCTAGATTGTATATTCCATTAGCTACATTAAAATGACTGCCTTGTTGGGGTAACAGTAAGCACTGTTGTTGAAAACACATGAGCAATGGCTTGGCTTTTCGTACATATGTAAAGTATACATTATCCTTTATCATTTTGTACTGACTACTGAGTACTAAAGTTGTTGTTATTTTTTATCATCATCGGATGCCCAATGACTTCCTCCCCAATCTTCCTAAACCCCAGTCCTGTGTGCTTGCATTTAGTTCATTAAATATCCACGCAATACGCATGGAAGAGGCGCTAGTGTTGAAACTCAAGAGTACGAAATATCAAAATACCAATGTCGATCGATCGGAATTGGATTTAAGAGTAAGCCTGCTGAAATTCTTATCCCTCAAAAGGCCGGCAATGCACTTTTGTATCTTCTGGTGTTTCGGGTGACCATGTTTGAAACCCATTGCTTACCATCAGGTCTGGTGATCTGTCTGCTCGTTTGCCGTAGATTTACACCAACTCATGATCATACGCCTCTTGTCGTTGTAGTGTGTGTGACACCTCGCCCTATAAGTAAGTAGTGTAAGTTAGTTATTAAGACACTCAATTAACTCGTCGAGTACCGGTTTTGCAGACACAATTATAGAACAATAGGTTGCGGTCACCGGTGACCGCTTGGTATTTGACAGTTTAAAGTTATTTCTAAGAACAACACGTCTCCCTCATTGCTCCACACTGCATCGTATATCGTTCAAAAATTTAAGTTTTGCTACAGATACTTGAACTAAACTTTGTCCCATTGTATTTTTTTTATTCATAACTGCTAGTTTTACAAAGGTACCTCGTATTCAGACCCGGAACAGTTAATTTTATTATCAACTTTATCTCACTGCTGTCAGTTCCGTCCATACCTATGAAAAAAAAACAGACATGGGTCATAGTCGACCCCAAAAATTGTAGATAATTCTGTCTATACAATGTCAACACTAAACATGAATGTCAATTCAAACATTGACTGTTTTTTCATTGTTTTATGCAAAATGGTCACAGTTTTAAAACAATGGGTGATCCCCTTGACCCTAGATTTGGCACAAAAAGCTTTGTGTTCAAACTGTACAGTTTCGATGCAATTAACATTGAAAATTCACATTACTAGTGAACTGAGTCAAGGCTGAGGCGCGGTGCTAGTGTTAGCGACTTGTCAAAAAAATAAATCTAACTAGGTAGGTACGTACTGTCGTGGTGGCCCGGAGGTTGAAGACGTCTGCTTCTCATGCACGAGAGAGCAGGTTCGAAACCTACCAACGGCAAGTACCAATGAGACTTTTTCCGAGTTATATGTACTTTGTAAGATTATTTAGACAACACTGACCAACGGTGAAGGAAAACATCGTGAGGAAACCTGGACTTATGATTTAAAATTATAAGGTTGAAATCGCCAACCCGCATTGAGCAAGCGTGGTGATTAATGCTCTAACCTTCTCCATTTGAGAAGAGGCTTTGCTGTTAATAAGCTGTTGATGATGAGATAGGTACGTTTGGTTTGAACAGTTAAAAGGAATGGAAACTTTATTTCAGACCTAATTTTCATGTCAGGACGAGAATCAGTGATTAACTGGAACTAACTGGACTGATAAAGTGGAGCAACTGGAATTTTTGTGCATTTCATAATTATAAAATATAGGTTTTACTGTAAGTACATAACATCACGCCTTTTATCCAAGTAGGGGTAGGCAGAGGTGCACATTACGGCACTTAATGCCACTGTATAATGTAACACCCACTTTTCACTACTTATGTTACGAGTCCCATGTAATAGTGGATGAATCTATTGCCAAATACCGGGCACAATTTCAGACTTCGTACATGATTAAAAAAATCCAGTAGTCTTTGCCCGACCCGGGAATCACACCCGATATCCCTTGCTTGACAGTCGCACTTGCGATCACTCCGCCAATGAGGCAGTCACTAAGTACCTACATACTTACTTAACTCACAAAAAGTGCTAACGATATATGGAATGTGATATTCAAGAAAGTAGATGATTATTAAGAGAAGTCTAATGTACGACACTACGACGTCCTTATTTAATTAAAACACGATTAACATAATCCACTATTTTGTTAATGTCGTTATAAGAAAGCTTATTAGACAGAATACGTCTGATTCGCTGTTAGTGCCACCATACAACAATCAAAACCTTACTTCTACGTAGTTAAAAATAGAAGTTGAACTCTTACTTTTAAGCAAAACTGTACTAATAGAGGCCAAGATATACTGGTTATTTGAACATATACACCACCATAAGCTGAGCTCTTACTTCTAATTAAAGTTGTACTAACCAAGGTCAAGATGTACTGGCTGTTTTTTGGACTTCCAAGACGTTGTGTCCTTTAATTTCGTTTGCTGCTAATCCTATTATACAGGATTACCGTAAAACACCTCAACAGGTTTCGTTTAACGTGAATATTTAACTGTCTTAAGTTATTAACGACTTCTTAATCTACATAGGTATAAATTGTACAAATCCGCTTTGAGGTATTTATGTATCGGATATTTTGTCATTCCTTTTTCTCTCTAATTCATAAACTTTAATATCTTTTAGTAACACGAAGGGGTTTAGGGTTATCCCCACATTACCAGTTATTTTAATATAAGGCAAAATTATA